GAACCAGCAAATCTTCAAACAAACACATATTCAAACAAATCATCATCTAAATTTCAACTTATACCTACACTTCCTTAAACTCATTCGCTAATTTATTATCGTAGCAATTTTTGTTTTTTGTTTTTAATGTATTGGGATCATTGTCATGCATTTTATTGCTGTTTTTAAACCATATTCACTACATTACAAACAAAACAAAAAAACAAAAAAACGAAATGATTATTTGGTTCCTTACAACCCTACCGATTATTAGTGTAGTGTTATCAATAGCTTAAATATCTTATTCTTAACACCTTTTTTTTCCCTTATGAAGAACAATGTATTCAAATATTTGTACACTAATAATACCTATACCAATCACTGCAATATCAGTGCAACGCTAGTGTATATAAAATTAGCAATGGAATAGCATTAAAACTGTTGGATAAACAACAATTAGTGACTAATAAAAATAATTATATATATCAACAATATATAAATACCAACGAAATTAAATTTATAAAAAACTGTAATTTGAAATACTGTACACAATAAATAAATGAACTGACTTAGATTTGAGATAGAGGCTTGCATATTTGATGCAATGTCCTAAAGACAGTAATTTCACCACTTCTCAGTACTTGAAGTTCTATAGGTCTCGCCTCCCAGAATTCAACTATCTGTATTCTAAACCCTAGCACTAGCACTTAGAATCTAGCGAACTTTAATTGTTTTCCTCTAAGACAATATGAATGTGCTTGAAGAATGTTTTTTATGTGTTTTACGAATGAGGCCTTGTTTGATTTAAATAAACTTCTAAAACCTTATTAGAAGAGTCATTACTATTAGAAAACAGTTAATTATTAATTAGAAACTAAAAAAATAATTTAAATATGAAGTGCCCCAAGGCCCAAGGCCTATCTTTTTGATAATTCAATATTATATATATATTGTTCATATAATATTCTATGCCGAAATCGAGTTTGAAGTCCAATTGGCTTCCACTTGGCCAAACTTCCATTTACTAAATGTGGGACTTCTATATTTATAAAGACCTCACTCTTTCTTCTTTCTATCAATTTGGGACAAATGTTCTTGAATTTTATTCAAACTTCCAACAACCCCACATTTGAATCGAAAATTCTAGACCCCACATTTGAAATGTTATACTTAAAGTGCTAAATGAATGTTATGCATTTGAGAGGAAGCAGATGTTATATGCATAAGGAAAAGTGCCCTTTGGACTTGAACTTACCCTAGTGAAAACATATCGAATTTACTTGGTGACGCAATGGATATAATTGATCTTGAACTGTTCATCGCTATTGACAGGACCCAACCCAAATTCCACTTTGGAATTTGAGCTGAACCCTGTGCTTGTCTGACACTTGGCGGGTGCCGGGCACACTTGACTAAATTGCCTTCTAACGAAATCGAAGTTAAACTCAAGTTTGACTTCTGCCGAAAATTCGGCAGAGTCTCCCCTATAAATAGTCGTTTCCCAAAATTCTTCCACCTGTACAAAATACAATTTTAATCCCAACCATTCAGCATGCATCAAGTTTACATTCAAGCAATCCAACAATAGAATTATATGCCCTCAAGCCCTACAGAAATCCTAGGGCAATTTCAGAGCAATACTAATCAATTTAATTTACAGGAATAGTTCGATTACAAAAGAAATCCTACATAGTGGGAAAGATGAGTGAAGAGTGGTGACTGCCCTGTGGTGGCGCTCTGGTACACGACTACAGCCTGGGGGCGCAAAACATTTAAAAGTGTGAGTGGACAAAAATAAAGTTTTGTAAAATAGAATCTTAACATACTAACCCCACTATTAAAACATTTAGAAAATTCCATTATCACAATGTGCTATATTCGTAATAAAATTCAAGCATACATATCTGCATAAATATAACTGATCAAGCATTCGAACAAATCATAAAAAAAACATTTGAAAGCTTTGTAAAATCTTAATTCTTTTCCACCTAGGTGTACCCATCATAAATCTGTCAATTCCATAATCTTTATATTCATTTCCCACATTATACCATTAATTCCTTGTGTCACATAATGCGACACATCCTCGCAATTCTTAGAAACACAAAGTCATCCGAGTCACATTCTTAGCAAGACTTAGGGGACACTTGGTCCACCTGGGCCTCATTCCTTACAAGACTCAGGGGACACTTGGTCCACCCGAGCGGCATTTCTTGCACCACACGGTTCGGGCGTCCCTGAAACTCGTGGGGCATTGTCAAACGCGTGCTGACTCAACCAAAAGCAATAAATTATCTGAAGGCAACATCTTGGGTACTTATAGTGCTTTTAAAAACCATTTCTAAAAATTATAACACTGTTCCTCATTAAATCCTTAATCCTATTATCATTATTTTCTTTTCTACTTTTACAAGCCATTCGCATTTTAAACATAAACATAATATAATAAAAGTATTTGAATTCAAATATTTATGCTTGGATAGTAAAAGTCATAATAATTCATTCTTGATCATTTAATAAAACTTTAATTGCATAAAATCCATTTATAAAACAAAAGTTCACTCACCGAGTGTCCGAGCTAGTTTGACCCTTTGAGGGTCCCTCCTGCGGGTTCAATGACTCCCGAGTACCTATTTAAGAAATTAAGAACATTTAATTAATAAAAATAGCTCAACCACATATTAAATCAAAATCCTGACCCCCGGCCTCAAAAGTGCGTGTACGTAACTTACAAAAGTTCCTAGGCCCATTTTCAACAATTCTGATAGGTTGAATGGTCTGAAAAGACCCGAGATTAAATAAGCGATTAAATTCCCATATTGGTCAACTCGGTACCCCGTGAGGGTACATGACCTTTGATTATCAATCCGAGAGTTCCTATAGGTTCAACATACTTTACTAAATATGCTCTGCAAGTTTGGTCCAAATCGAACCACCGGATCGCTAGCGATCGGACAGTTATCGTTTAACTTAATCTTTGAAATATTGAATCGGAGTATCCGGGACTCTGATTCTAGATCTGCGAATTTTTACATGATCCTAGAAGTGTCTAGATCAACATATTCGAAAATGAAGTCGATCCAACAGTCCGAACATATCGAAACCGGATAACGACTATTATGCGATATCCGATCAACGATCAAACTGTAACCAAATTGGAATCCGAGCATACCGTCGTGCTCAGGATGACGTGGGGAACATTATAGGACAAAAACCCAACCTTGCAACCCCGTCGAGGCTCTGCCACTGCCGGCGAGTGTGTAGACCAATTTTCTGGCGATCGAAAAACTCCAAACTGCTAGCCAATAATCATACCTATGGCTTAAGTACATAAAGGGGAGTAACTTTATACCTTGGCTCGACGATCAATTTCACCTTTAAAGCCCTCGAACCAAGCTTTTTGTCCCTTGAAAACTAAGAAAATTTTAGTTTCAAACTCAAAAAAAATTGGAATGGATTCACATTGGGTTTTCAAGAGATAACACAAAGGGAAGGTAGGAGAGTATTTTGGGTGTAATTACCTGAGCTGTGGTGGCTAGAATTGGCTGGAAAAGGCCACGAAAAGCCACTGTTTGAAGCTACCCAATTTTGGATTGAGTTTGGCTTAATTTTTCTTAGATTTTGGGCTGGAAATTGGTATGGATGCGTAGAGGGGAGAGAGACAAAGAGAATGGATCCAAAGTGGATTGTAACATCCCACATTGACCAACGGAGAGAGGGTGATATATCTTATATATACATGTCCACCTCCATCTAGCACGAGACTTTTTGGGAGCTCACTGGCTTTGGAGTCATGGGAATTCCGAAGTTAAGCGAGTTAGGGTTAGAGCAATATCAGGATGGGTGACCCATTGGGAAGTTGCTCGTGAGTTCACAAAAACAAAACCGTGAGTTCATAGCCCATTTATTATGTTATATTTATTTTTAGAAAAAAATAATTTATAACATTATTAAATTTTTATCTATAAAAATATATATTTGTTGATAATGGTATGGAATGAAAAACTGCATCCAGAAGAGTTTCAGGTATCACCAAAAACACATCATATAAGTAAGTGATTGTCGTCAATATGATTGTGAAACACAAACCGATTGATAAGAGCCACATAAATAAAGGAATCTTTAGATGGAATCTGCTAACAACATGAAGGATAACAGTCAGACAAAGAAAGAAAGAGATTGAGTTATAATTTGTGTGATGCATTAATGACATTGTTTTAAGTGTGAAGAAAGTGATACTTGTCATGAGAAGAATGGAGAAAATCCAAAAAAGAAGGTTAGAGAGAATGTTGCTAGCATTCATCAAACATGTTATGTTCGTCCATAATATGAACGTGAATGTAGTGCGACATTCATACTCATATTCATCCGTATTTACTAAAGGCTCCATCATGCACTTCCATCCATATTCATAAATATAGTGCGACATTCATGATGATTTTTACTGCATCTACCAAATTGCTATCCAAAATTTGTTTATGGGGGCTTACATGTCTAACAACTAGTTCCTCCAATGGAGGGCTCTTTCCTTTTAAAAACAAAACAAAGAAACAAAAAGAATAAAAAAAGTAGGGGGAGGGGGAGGGTGGAAGCCGAATTACACTCCAAAGTACATATGGGGCAAATGCTTTGAGCATTTTGAGCAATACAAGGCATTCAGAGATATAACCGCAAATAAATTAAATTCCATTTCTCAAACTATATGTGTTACAAAGAACAAACTCAAATGAGAGCCGCGTAATCCCATAATCCCAAAAGCTAATAGTCATAAAGAGAAAAGAAGACCCAAAGACACCAATGAAGGCAAAACTTGACACATCTAGGTATCCCATGTAAATAAGCCCTGACAGGAAATGAACCACCACCCCATGAGCCATCATCACTATATATGATAGGAAAAATAAAAAATAAGTTATTTGAAGTGTTAGATCATATAATAGTGGTGGCAACACCAATTTCCTGTGGAGAGACTTCACTGAAATCTTTCATTTTTCAGCTTTTTGAGACATCCAGATGCACCTTGAACTCTTTCATATCATCATCCATCAGAAATGTTGGTTGTGTTTGTAATGTTAAAATTTAAAGGTATTGAGCTTGTATTCTCTCTCTGTTTTCTTCCCACCATGACTTCGCGTTCATCTCCCCGAACCTTTCGCGGCTGTGCAAATCAGAGAAATAAGGTCATGAGCTGCCTCTCGATTACCAAAACAAGAAATTGCTTATTGCCAATATTATGGTGCAACAGAGAGAATTCATGAAGAGTAGTGGATCTATTAACAAATAACTAAAAGTGTCTGAAAAGAAGATCAAGAACTAGCTGTATGGAAATAAATACAGAGCAGGTCATGGAATGGGTATATATATATGATGCAACAGAGAAGATGAATGAAAATGCTAGTGAATCTGTTACCTGAATCGGACACGGCGAAGTTCCCGAGTGCCATCAGCTAGCTGCCTTATGGTTATATATACCCCAGGCTCATCTTCCTCAACCCATTCTGACTCGACATCACTAGCATTGCTAATTGAGATTGAAGCTTCATCTCTAGAGGAGGTTGTTGTCCGTGAAGCATCGAAAGATGATGCCTCTCCCTTGTGCCCGCCCGCTCCATAAGCACTAGAACCACCAGCATTATAGTGGTGACCACCACCACCATGATCAAAAGAATCGGATGGGAAATAGCCTCTACTTCCGGCTCCAGAGGGTTTATACTGGTTCCTTGGTGTCCAATCCTTGTTTGATGGAGCCATAGGGCTTTCCATAGCAGATCCCATCCTTGAATAAGAAGAATCCCTCTGCTGCTGAGTACAACAGTCTGTTAATAACTACCATTTTCAAGTACACATACATCATAGACATTAATTCAATGGACCTTTTTTCTAGCATCCATCAAAGCACACTTCTAGAAACTTTATCACAGTGATGTTAACTATAAAATCAAATGAGGAGGTTTCCAAGAAGCCATTTAAATGGTTCCATGTACATTCGAGAGTCGAAATCAACTAATCATGCAAGTAGATAGACCACAAGGCCATTAAAGTCAATGGTGTTCATCATTTCACGCCTGAATGCCAAATTTAATTTAATTACCTCATCTTCAGACCTTGGAGGAGTGTGCAGAGCTTGCCGGTTGAATCTCTGAACATTGTAGAGCTCCATGATGCGGTCATAATTCTCACCCCACCATCGCTGAGCTTGCCATTTGTTAAACATCTCTCGGCTTCAAATTTGAAAGTCATGTTTGATCAGTTTGATGTACAGGGATAATCAAGTTACAAGTACTAGATTTTAAGACATTAGCAGAATCAAAGCCACATCACAAGTCCAGTTCTTGGATTTTGACAAGGGTACAATTACTTTGTACAGATACTAATTTCTTTTTCCTACAATAGTCATTGCCATACCTGAAACGAATTCGTTTGAGATCATTTCCCCCATTAGGAAGAGATACGAAAGTGATGTGTACGCCTGGTTCCACTTGTGCCATCCACTCCTTAGGCTCATCCTCATCCAAAACTACATCACAAGACTGAGCATAGGATGCACCTCCCGGGGTCCGATCACCACCACCATATGCTCTGGTAAATCTTGAGTCTGATCTTGCACCCAACTGATGATTAGAGGTGAAGTCCCAAGCTGGTGTAGAACTTGAGCTTGCAGCATAGGGGTATGGAATCCCTTCTGAAGCAGTATCAAAATCTGGGTAAGGTCTCGGTGTTCCTTTCTTATAATTACTCGACCCTGTGCATGGTTTGCATTGCTTGTATGCACCGGAGAATTTCAGTGCCATATCTTTGATCTGCACAATGTTAGAAAAATGGGGTTGGCCAAATGCCCAAGAAAGCTATGCAAGAATTAGATGGAACATTTATCATTATGCATTTTCCAAATCATTACGTTTTTTAACATTAAAAAGAATCATATAAATGGAAGAAAACAGTTTATATGAGATAATTCCAAGTGAAGACACAAATTTTCAAAGTATTTCACTTGCTTTGAGTGTAGTTTATCTTGAATACCATGTGTAGAATACAACCGGATACACCAGATTATTACTGATGGGGCAGATAGGTACCTAATCTTTGTTACAAATTGCTGTAAGGTGAATGCAAACCATCATTAAGAATTTATTATGGGACCAAAAACAGCAGCGTTTGAATTACCATTTTAAAGGGCACCTACTTATTTTGGTAACAAATTTTTGTAAATGTTCAGCGTTACATTATGTTATCCGCATTTATTTCAAAAGATCACTCACATGTGTGGGCAACTAACCATAGCATTTGCCTTAAAAAATAAAAATTAATATAGTTTGCAATAGAAAGTAAGTTGTGCACGTACGCTTTAATTATTTTAAACTACTGATATATGTGAACTCCATTGTGAGATACGCGATTGAACTTAGCATTCTTCGTTTATCATAGGACTGCGTGTACCAAATTATGATACATTTGATATCTAGATGTAACAAAGCATAGCTTTGGGACACCCAACAACAATGCAGACATTCTTGTTTGCAAAAGTGATTTCGGGCAGCAAGCCCTAAAGTGAAGGCAGATAATCAAACCCAAATCTTAAACGATTTTCTACTTTTTTTGCATTTACCCAAAAAAAAAAACAAAAAAAAAATCCGTTCTACGCTATAGCATGTATTTACTTTAGCAAAACAGTAATTAGACAAGAATTCAATGGTGGGTCACGCAAGGACATCAATTAGCAGTCTTTTTCTGAATATAGCGAATTCCCTTTTCTCCCATTACTTGTTGCGGAAACTCTAAAAGTTTTCTAAATATACTGGCGGGAGATTATATTTTATTTGTGCCTATATTAAAAATGAGAAAGAAAAAATAATTAATTAATTAAATAGCCATATAAAATATAATAAATAGAAGAGCAGATCACGTGTGTGTGTGTAGACATCAGAGAATAAATTAATTATATTTACAGTAGATTACTACATATGACATCATCAGCACGTTACAGTTAAAGTAGACATGTCTAACAAGTTCACACACAAAATTTTAACGACAATATATATGTCACTGTCACTCATGCTACTATATGACCACACGTTTTTTCTCAACGAAGCGCATGTTTGTGAGTGTTTATGGAGGAATTTAAAACGCTTTCAGCGTTTCTGACAGCGTTTTGTAGAAAGTTTAAAAGTATTTATGGTCAGAAAACGTACTTACTGTAGATTAATACATAAGCAATTCTAGACTCTTGCGCTCGAGATTATGGATTCGATTCGTCCATTTTTCAAGACGATATTGGATGATATGAGGGTGTAGATAGAATCTAGGGTGGGCACAATCCCCGTGCTTATTCAGAGTTATAGCGTTGTAGGGTGGAAGTAGTAGGACTAAAAGGTGTTCTCAGTTCATAAATTCAAAGGTGTATTTTGAATATCTCAAAGCTAATTCTTCTGATGCTATTTATTATTCTTCGTGGGTCGATTTAAAAGAGCACAAAGCAGAAGTAGAGCTACGAACAGAGAGTAGTGGAGTGGAGGAGGGTATGTTTATATATGCAATGCAGACTTGAAAAGATGCCGAAAAGTGGGCCCCACAATACGGGCCCCACTTAATGCTCTTGTGATTTTGTTTGCTTCATTTTCATTTTTATGGAAAAAGAAGCTGAAAAAGCAAAAGCTTGTGTAGGTGAAGACACGCATACAGAGAGAGAGAGAGAGAGAGAGAGAGAGAGAGAGAGATTGATTAGGAACCTGCGCCGTCAGGCTTTTGACGGCTTCTTTTGTACTTGGGGTGCCACTGCCACGCGCTCCTCCTTCCTCTCCACCATCGTCCGTCTGCTTCGTACATGCTATGCACGTAAACATCTTCTTCTCCCTTTCTTGTTTACCCCTTTTACCCCTGAAAAAACCATATAATTTCATTTCAGTACATAGCCTCAATCAAACATACGAACAAATTCATGAACAAATAAACTATCTCCCCCCAGACCTCTTTTTGTTTTCATGGATGGATAGGAAAGTTATCTTTGTTTAAGAGGGGGTGTTCCTAATTACAAAAAGGCCCTAGGAGGGAGGTATTTTTAAGGGGTAATTTGGACAATTCACTGGAAAATAGAACATTCCCTTGTATGGCAAAATGGAAGTTCACAAAACAAAACATCCTTGGATGAAGAAGGGGCCCCAATCCACAAAACAAAACATCCTAACCGCCAATTTGTTTGGTGGCAGAGAAAATGCAAAGAAAAAAAATAGCATCAACACAGCAAATGTGAACTGCAAGGATTGTGGGTTTTTCTTTTGATGATTTTCCCGGGAAACAAATGGGTCCAAAGTAAGAAGGGGAAAGAAGGAAAAAAAAAAAAGTGAAAAAGGAAAAAAGAACTCGGGATCAGAGAAGACCAAGAAAATGCGTAAAATATAATGAGTCAATAATTGAAAGAACCCAAAAAGAAAATTGGGAAGTGGCATTTGAAACTTTGAAAGTGGTCTCATTAGGAGGCCAACTCGAGGATGTGCGTCGCTTTAATGTACCAACCCAATTCGTAATTAAATAAATAAGTAAATAAGCAAATGCCAAAATTGCATTATTTATCCTCAAGAGCTGAACTTAGAGAGAGAGAGAGAGAGAGAGAGAGAGAGAGAGAGAGAGTGGCACTCTGTTTCTTCTTCTTTTTCTTTTGATCTTTTATTTTTTTCAACCAAAAATTTGTTTTTGTTTTTTGTTTTTTGTTTTTTTTTTTGGGTGGGGAAGGGAGTGTTGGGGTATGAAAGCGGTGGTTGGGAAGACAGAGAGACAAAGAAAACAACTGAAAAGAAGAAGAATCAGATGAGATCAATATTAAATTGAAAATTTGTATCATTATTATTCGAAAACGACTTACCCAAGCAAACCCTCAACTCTGCTTTTTTTTTTCTCTGCTCTTGTCGCTTTAAGCTGCTTCTCTCTTTCTCTCTCTCTCTCCTCCTAGTCGCTAGCTCCTTAGCTTAGCTGCCACTATTCTCAGGCTCAAACTCTCTCTCTCTCTCTCTCTTTCAACTGCTCTGCTTCAATGCCTTCATTCAATATAGGCCACTCTGTTTTCCAACTGTATCAATGGACCCAAAAACAAAACAAAACAGAAAAAACTATTAGAAACAGAGCATTCAAATTCCTCAATCTCACATATTATTGATGCAAAATGGAAACCAAACCAAACCCATTTCAAAAAAGTCTAGGGACATACGAGAAGAGAAAAAACAAACAATTAATGGGAGATAGATAAAGAGCAAAGTGATGCTCTGCTCTGTTTGGTTGCCGAGAAAATTAAGAGAAAAAACAGTAAAGAAATTGCAACTCTCACCTAGATCAACACCTCATCTTGAAAACCCGGCACGGGAAGAACCAAACATTTCAATCTCCAGAGAAAGGAACCGAATAAATGTGGAAAATGAAACTGGAACCTCTTCACTCAACTTTCCGTAGCTCCAAACCGAGTGAACCCGAAATCTTGCGAAAATCAAAATCGCTTCAATTTTGGCAGTGTGAAGTCAACCCAGATCACCAAATTCTCTCTCAATGTAGAAACAACAATCTTCGGACCGAGATTCTTGGCCGGGAGACGAAATGCCGGGCGATATATTCGAAATTTACCGAAAAGGGAATGTTTCGGATACAACAGCTCCGGGTTTCACGTTACGACAATCCTAAAAATCGGAAAATTACAGACGAGAGAGAATGGGAACAAATTGGGATCTTGTATTTATATAGAGGAAGATGTTAACGACGTCAGATTGCTCCGCTATATGTAACGGAGGCATTTGGTCATTTGGAGTGAGGACACAAGGGTCCACATGTCTAGGTGATGTAAAGGGAAGGGGTGTCTAGGACTCTAATATGTGTAGAGAGTAGGACACGTGGCGGCCTTTGATTCGGTGAGGACATGAGAGGGTGATGGAGGGAGATTTATTTTTTTTAATTGACAGATCATAACTCAAGGAACCATCTAATCAAGATTTTTTTAGTTTTATTTTTATTTTTATTTTTATTTATTGTATTTATGTTTGAGGTAGGTGAATATTTTTATGAGGGGATAATTTTGGGGTCATTGATGCTCATAGCCTTTTACTAATTGGGTATGGTCAAATGCCATGGACTGAGCTTTTTCATAGCACATTTTCTTCTGTTTTAGGCATTAGCCACGAAAGTAGGTGAAAAATGGGACGAAATAAATTGCATAATTTTGTGTAATTTGTGTTGTTTTTTGTTAATGCCTCATGCCATCATGGTGAGCCAAGTCCATCACAAATCACCACGTGGCCGTAGATGGCTCCGTTAAACTAATACCAACCCGAGTGAACGTGATGTCTTGGATATCAATCAAATGTCTCCTGACCAAAACCTGACTGAGCAAGAGTGAATCAATGCTCGGGCGCCAGATACCGAGCCGACCACAGTGGTATTGTGTGTGACCATAGGTGCATCAATACTTAACAAGCGTGACTAGACCCCTGTCAAGGCAGTCACTCCATTTGCCTGATAAACAGCCTAGCAAGTGAAAGAGATCAGTTAATGCATTTCCCATATGAAGCCAGGTGTCGCCTTACCCTTCGATCCCCGATAAACAGGCTGATGATAGAGAGGGATCATTTAATATACTTCCAATCCAAAGCCATGTGTCGCTGGTTCACATAATCTCTGTCAGACATCATGGTGATCAGAATAGATCATTTAATGTACTCCAGTCCCACTTGGGAGAGGGGAGATAAATATCTCCTCCTCAAATATCTTTGTTTCTCCTTCTCCCTTCTATAAATACCTCTCACCTACATCAGGACAAGGTAATAACGATTCTCATCTTGAAAACACTACATCCATTCCCTCCACCTTATAACCACGTCTGACTTAACGATCGGAGGGAGTTCAATTGAGACGAACTCCAGTTCGCTCATATTCTGATAGCTGTTCAAAGTGTGCAGGTCTTCTACGAAGAGCATCTTAACCCAGAAGGTTTGGTATAAGCCATGATCTCAATCCAAGTCCAGGCTATACTTTATACGAGAAGGATGCACAATTTACATTTTTTAATCACATGAGTGAGCATGCTTACTTAAAATATGTCTAATCTCAAAAATCAGGTCAAGTAAGCTTGAGTTAATTTTATTTTTGCTACTATTAGTATTGCAAATGAATGAAATTGAATAGATTGTGTCGAGAAATTTATCTTCTAATCAAGCAACTATGAATTTCGTGGGAAGCTGACTTTATATAAAGTTATTTTATGTACCTAACAAACAATAAGGACTCAAATTCTTTTTTAATCACCATCACCACCACCACTGTCACCCCCACCGCCACCATCACCACCGCCACTACTTGACATGGTGATTACCACCACCGTTAATGCATTTACCAACTCCACCTCCACTATCTCTACTACCATCACTAACATCAAACATGATGGCCCATCACTATTTCGAATTTATAGAAGTTTAATAAAATCTATCAAACTCTATCACAAGATTCCAACAAATTTCATCAAAATTCTTATGAGATTCAATCAAAGTATATGTGGAGTTTATGAAAGTAAAAAAAAAATCCATATAGTTCTAACGACTTTAAAATCCATTAAAATCTTAATTGAATACACCCCTAGAAGTGACATTAGAAATCTCTAGCAACATTAAAATAGGTGGAGTATGCAATCGATTGGTCCGAAACACCAATACAATTTCAATAATACTATTTGTACCATATTTATTAACCACTTTGTTGATCACCTCTCTAGTACAAGTGGGTTTCACCTCTTCAATAGAGGTGAGCCCCACTAATGTATATGAGACCCATCTATTATTAGAGATGTGACCAGGGGTGTAGTCAATAAACATGGTACAAATAGCAGTACTGATACAATTAATATCAATAGCATATCATGTTAGAAAATAATTAAAAATACAAATTAATGGAAAATCATCCTAATTGACCATGCATAGAGTCTTTTTGCAAATTGTTAATGTCAAAATCACCAATAATCCCCGAACTAGGAAGACTTGAGGAACAAAGTATAAATGAGAGTTGGAGGTTCTACCTGTAACCGAAGGTGTTCTTATTACTAGAGATATTCCTCGAGGCGATCACCAAAGAGGACATAGACACAAATCCGAACCTCTATAAATTCTTATGTTATATGTTGTCTATTTTACTTTGGTGTGTGTGTGTGCTTCTACTTTACGTAGAATATGTAGACATAAAGCCGAACCTCTATAAACTCTTGTGTTCTCTATTGTTTGTTTTACTTTAGAGTGTGTGTGCGCTTCTACTTTTCCTGGTTTGTGTGTGTGCACATTGTGTAGTCCATCAACGACAAGATCTTGGATTGTTTCCGCATGCATTTTCTTCTATTCTCAGCAGACGTGGTATGCACAAGATATAGAACTGGTCACCTCAGCAACATAAGTGTAGTATTAGCTAAACCTTCTCTGATGCCGAAGTAAGAATGAATTATATAAAGAATTAACAGAGTTTTGAAATGGTTGAGAATTATTACCCTCGTCTGAATTTGGGTGATGAGTATTTATAGAAGGCATGAGGGAGCATATCTCCTTAACTGGGAAAATGAGGATGTCTAGGTCATGCCTTAATCATGGCGAGGATTAGGAATGCATTTTGTGCTAGATCCAGCCACATTATGACACTTGGTCTTGACAACTTGATTAGAGTGAAAAACCTTGTAAGCGTAGAGAAGGCTTCCCACTAACAAGGGTGTCTTTGGTGGTTTTGACCAAGTGTCATGGTGGGGTGAGGATCGTGATACCCAACCATGGTCGGTCAAGGTTGGTGGCGTGGCAATTAGGGTTGGCGTTGTTGAGCATGCTCGAGTCAGATGTGATCAAGTAGTGGGACTATGTTTACTCGACCATCCACGTTGTGCCTCATTAATGATCAATCGATACAGGATAGATCTTGTGCCAACAAATGTATAAAAAATTTATCTTGTTTAGTTCATATTCTCTCTATTGAAGTTCCATGAACTTCATTCATCTAATCATATGGCAAAAACATGATCATGAATGAAACAAGAACAAGTCCATCAGATACTCTCTACAAAGTCCATAATATACGCATGTTGCTTAAAAAATATTTGTTTCCATGCAAAACTCCATCAGATAGGCCCCTCAAATGAGCCTAACTTGGATCGAACAGAGCTCACCAGCTGACAAAACCACCAGAAGACAATGGTGGATTGAATGCGAAAGCTAAGAGTAGCCTAACCAGTGATGTGTCACGTGACACACACTTTCCAAATTTAGCAAATGGTTGGTTTTGTATTCTATTCCTCACCAAAGCCTCTAGCTCTAGGTCATATTTTAGAAACTTAAACCTTTTGTTCTCTTTTTGTTCTTTTTCTTTTGGTGGGTGAAAACAAAACTTAAACTTTGGATATGAATTTTGTTGGACAGAAGAAATTATGACGCGAGAAAGATGTAATGAAATGAAATGAAATGACCAAGCAAAGTGGAAAACTGTATGGTGTGTCCAATCAAAACGCACGAGTGAGGAGGGGTACTTGGATGCGCCGCTGGTGAGGGAATCATCATCACTATTAAAAATCCAAATTGGAATGTAGGAAGATCTTCAATCTTGTCAAACAAACCACAAAAAGATTCTTATAATTATATGTGTCAACCAAAAGCTAAGCCCCATTTGTTTTCTGAATTCTTCTGATATGTTTTTGTCTTCTTCTACACCTCACCTGATCAGAGACTGGTTTAATTTCTTTATTTATTTGGTGCAGCCCAAACCCAAAGTTCTTTTACTGTTTTCGGCCAATAACATCATGACACATAAAAAAATTATTCCCGTTTTATTGTGTTATAAATCGGAATAACAAAAAATGTAATCCCGTTTTATAAGAGTTACTCTCCCAAACGTCCTTCCCTGAGGTCCCCAAAGGTGGTCTCAAAGAAAAGGACCAAAACCCATTGTGCAAAATTGATGCTGGGTTCTAGTCAGAGGAAAAATAGTACGGCTAGGAGACAGTTAAACACTGCAAACCGGCTAGGACCGGTGACTAATCGGTTAAGAGGGTGTCTTCTTGGGCAGAGAGCAGAGAGAGGTTACTGGCTGTTGTCGGTTGTCAGCATCTGGTTTGGTTTCATGTTAATAATAATTTGACATTATTTTGTTTTGTGCTTGTAATTGTTTGTATTTTGTTGCTTTGGCAATATGGGCAAGCCATGCGCTTTAACTTTAGCCAACTACTCTGTCTCTGCTCTTGTCCTCGCTTTATTCCTGGGGCTAACCTCTCTTTAAGCAAAGAATGCTTGGAACAGAGGGACAACAAACAAAACCAAACCCCATTTCTCATCTCTCTCTCTCTCTCTCTCTCTCTCTCTCTCTCTCTCTCTCTCTCATGATATATATATATATATATACAA